AGTATTAAGACTTTATTAGCAAAGAAGTATAAAAACTTCTTGCGAACATCTTTTTTGTGTGTGATCAGAGAATCAGCAGAGCAATTACATAAATTTCTTTGAGTACTCTTTTCTTTAATTCAATCAAGATCTTTTGATTATTTATCCAAATTTCTAGAAATCTTGCTTGATCTGTTTTATCAAGCTCTTTGATTGCTTATTTTTTAATATGTACTTGTCTGAACTTCTTTTGGATAACAATTAGGATTGTTAATAGTAACTAGAACTGATTTATTACTATTGATCTAAGAATCATTGATCCTATAGAAAATTTTTGCTATTTTCAAGATCTTTTCTATATTTTTCTTGAATCTTACTATATATGTTATATTATTCATAAAGACTATTGTGACATGTTTTGATTTTAACTTTTCAACCTTGTGACTATTGAAGTCCAGATTCTAGATAACTGACATTTAATATCTTCTATTTATATTATTTTAAATTTTGCACAATAAAGGGTCATAAAAGATTCTTTATATTAATAGTAAGATGGTTTCTCCTTAATTGATTCTATCTCTTGCTTTATAGAATTAATAAGATTATCTTCAAATATAACTTTGAATTCTTTATTTTTGAAAAGGCTTATCATGATCTTAATAAAACCTTTAGGTATCATGATTCTTTTCATTATTTTTATTAGCATGTCCAGATTAATAGTGTAATAAGCTTTGGCTATGTTTTGAAACAATACCTATAACTTATTTTTGTTTTTTCTCATGTTTTTACAAATATTATTAAGAATTTGAATCAGTTCTACTGTACTTTCTCCTGGTAACCCTGCATAGTTGAATTCTCTAAGAATATTATGAATCTTACAAATATTTTCTATTCTGTTTGTCAGAACTTTGATGAAACTCTTTTTAATAACCTCCAGTAATATAATAGATTATGTATTTAAAAGTTCATATTTTCAAGGCTTTGGCTTGATTATGGGATATATATACAGTATATATCTTCGCTTATAGGATATAAAAGTAACTTTCCATTTAAAGAAGTTGTTAAGCATTTTTTTTAGATATTCTTTTCTATCATGGCTTAACCTCTTTAATATCTTATAGCTAATCTAAAATTTGTTTGGGGCCTTATTATTGAAAAGCATTTTGAGTATTTAACATAATTCTTCTTATGAGATTGGTTCAAGAAAATTCTTATCATCTATCTTGAATATAGTTCTTGAGATTGTATTCCTCTTTCCAATTTTTTATCAGGTTGTCAAAATTGGCTTCTCTTCTTTTGAAAGTTTCTAGATGATATTATTTTATCTCTTTTTCAATTTCATATTTTTCTGTTATTATATATTTGATATTACCTTACTTAATTTTGACCTTATCTAGTATAATCTTACTCCTTTTTTTATTGATTAAGGAGCTTATTATTCTTTTTTGATTGTTTTTTAGATCATTACATCTTTGTTTTAATGTAGTTTTTATAGCATCTCTTGTCTTTTTGACTTCAAGTCTTTGATTAATGAACTTTAGACCTCCTATTGTATCTTGAATATCTTTTTTTAATAATATCTAAGACATATTGAAAATGCTATATTATACACAATAGTTTTTAATCTGATAATATGGGTTGTAAATGATATTATATTTCTCTATTGCCTTGCAAAGATTTTGTAGTTTTTCTATTTTTTTCAAGACTTCTGCTTTTTTGTGAAGTTTTTTTAGTTGCAAGGCTTTTCTATATTTAAAAAATTCAGGATTGTATTTATTATTTCTTTCTTTATGTAATAAGATCTTCTTAATTTTAAGCTTATTGAAAGCTACTTTATATATCTGTTCTTTAAAAACTTTTCAAATCTTGTCTATATGTTTTTCTTCTTTATCTACTTTAGATTTTTCAAAAAAAAGAAGTTTTAGTTTTGTTTTGAATTTATAGTTCAAGTTTTCTCAATAGGTTTGCCACTGTTTTAATGAAGATCTTTTTATGTCAATTTATCTTTTGTTTTGTGTTTTTGATTTGATAGTTGGATTTCTTATAAAGAGGTCTTCATCTTAGAGAGTAATTATTAGTATAATATAATTACTCACTGTAACTTCTTTTATTTCTTAATTATCAAATTGCAGCAATGGATATCTTGTTAGGTCTTGTAATATCTAAATATAATTAATTCTACTTCTGCTTATGGCATCCCACTATGTTGAGGTTTTATTTTTGCCTTTACATACTACCTGATATCTATGAAGTCCATTTATCCAAAAAGTTGAACAATGGAATTTCAAAATATCAAGAAAATCTGAACTTAGTCTTAAGGTTATTGTTTTATCTTCTGATGAATTATAGGCAACATTAAAATCACTCATCACTATTATATGGAAATTTTATCTTTACTTCCTTTTGATAAGACTGATTAACTTCTTTTGTACTTTTTTATATTATTGTTTGTCTAAAGAAATATAAATCTATATGATACAGACTTTTTTTTTATATGAGAAAGTTGGTTGCTATTATATAACATTTCTTCCTTTTTATCGATAATATTTTCTTTTTAAAATCTTTTTTGATTAGAAGGCTAACCCCTGTTCCAAATTGTATGTCTCTATTAATACTATAGAAATTTTTATAGATTTTTTGATTGTCAAAAGCCCATTTTGTATTGGTTTGGATCAGCTTGGTTTCACATATTCTCATTATACCTATTCCTTGTTCCTATAACTCTTCAATAAAACTTTGTTGATTTGTTTTGTCTGTTGCACCTCTAATATTGTGTGTATCTATTCTTATCACTCTTTTCTAAATATTTTCTTATATCCCTTTTGTATTCTTTATTTGCTCATCTTTATTTTGGCTTCTCAGAAAAATAATTATTTTTAATAAAAGTTAAATAATATATAAAAGTTATATAATTTATAAATATCTTTTAAAATATATTATATACAATAAAGACATACCATATTAAACTAACTATGAATTAAAAAAAATAGCTTAATTAAAAACCAACCTTGCTATTTATAAATAAATATTACTTATTTTGTTTATATCTGTTTTTTATATTTCCAGTAATTTAAAGTATATGTAAAATAGTTTGCAATAGATTATTATTAACTTAAATAGATAGGTGATATAATGATTAAATATTTTGCACTAATAAAATTTCATATCTAATACTTATTCATTAAAAGAAAGAATTTTATTTAAATATTTTAATTTAAATTTTTATTAAAAATTAAATTATTATTTTTTTCAAAATAAAAAAAATATACAGTATATATTAATTGTTCTAAAATAATTTCTACGTAAAGTTAAATAGTTCCAAACAATACTAACATAATAAGTTTATTAGCTAATAGCTTTTGTATTAAAATTATACCAAATCTTTGATTTTTTTTAAAAAAAACGACTTAACTAAAAAGAATTTCTTCGACACAATTGAAAATAAAACATTCAAGTGCATTTATTGTTCTAAATACTTTTCACTTACCAATTTTATTCTTTTTGCATATTTTTCACTTTTACTCTCAACCGTATCGCATGTTTGACGTTTCTCAAGTTTAATATAATGCCGTATTCTCGTTTCTTTACCACCCCCAGTGACAACATTAATAAACTTTCTGGAGCATATTTCTTCTCTAGTATCCGAAAAAACAAGCTCTTCCAAGGTACCATCCAAATTTTCCGCAAATTCCTTTTTTTTATCTTGCAATATTTCTCGATCATTGGGTTTAAGCTGTTCTAAAAGCGTCCCCCCAAAATCTTTCAATAATGTCGATAATATTAATGTTTTAGTCATGTGGATGTTCCACTGTTCATAGAAATGCTTATATATCTTTGATGGCATATTAAATGTTGCGTCATCATCTCGACAATATTGCCATTTCACATTATCATATTGGCAATTATATAAAACCAATGGTAATTCATTGGCCATTTCATAATTTGGTTTCGCTGGTGTCTTTAAAATATCTAAAAGATCATCCACAACTGAAGGGGCTTCCAGTTTCTGACCGACTAAAAATAAGATTGCGACCATACACCGAACCTGATGCCACAAAAAAGCTGTCGCGTGTAAATTAAACTCATAAAATTCCTTTGCGACCGAATAACAAGAGGTCGTTTCACCTGTAATAGGCGATGACTGTACTTTATCAATCCCGACATGAATCACGGTACGTTTGAAGTTATGAATCTGTTTTGATGGATCAATCTTACAAAAGTTACGGAAATCATGGGTTCCAAGAAAACGATTTGCTGCATCGCGCATTAAATCTATGTTCAAATCGCCTTTGACGAAAAAATATTTGTAATGTCTATAACGACAATCGAATCTTGCGTTAAAATCTGAATTTACGATGGCCCAAGCGATTACTCTTATGTCACTAGGCAGCAAACGATTGAGTACCTCTATGTAAGGAATTTCTTCAATATTTTTTGTGTTTCCAATGTCAGCACTGGTGTTTATAGACTCTTTGTCGCCTTCTACAGCCTGTTTGTTATTAAAGTTACTATCCTGTGACTCAGGTGGCAGGACAAGTGGTGAATCATGTGGAAGATGAGACCTAACATTCAATGCAATTACTTGTCCTAAACTGCTCACACCCTTATCAGTTCTACCACATTTTGTAAAATTACATTCTGCAGGATCCGATATCAATCTTGATCTAAAAAAAGCCGAATATAATTGTCCTTCAATCGTTGGATGATCTTTTTCATTAGCGTTTGTTTCAAATCCATAATAATTCCACCCAAAATATGCTACTTTCAACGCAATACGCCTTTTGGAATATTTAGACATATCAAATGGTCGAGGATTTTTCTTTCGACGTTTACTACAAGTTACAGCAGTATCGTAAGGCTTATTCTGTACCATAGTTGTAATTGCGGGTTCTGATTCTGTTGTGGATAGTTCGATCTTGTTTTGTTGATCGTTTTCGTAATTCAAAAGTTTTGCGATTAATTCTTGCTTACTCCAGTTGGCGTACTTTTCAGCTCCGGGTAATTGAGACATGAAGCGTTGCGTATGGGGCGAGACTTGACTAGAATTAATCCTTCGTTTTACGAAATTTAAATAAAACATTCGAAAACCAGAATGAATGCAAAAATTTTCTTTTTTTATACTGATTTACCGAATCACGTGGTTAATAATGCCCAAAAAAACTTTCTTTATATCATATTTTTTTATTTATTGACTAAGAAAAGACCTTGATCTTTGAGCACCACCCGGGAATAAGCGCCACCTTTAAAAATGAATTTGTATTAAAGATAACAATATATATTTAACACATCTATAATTTTGGCCGGAATTATAAAAATTCGACCCTACGTACTTATAATTTACTATAAAAATTGTCAAAATTTGGAAACGCAATTATAATTCCGGCCGGAGTTATAAGAATTGGGGAAAAAGTACCATCTTATAGTTAAAAAAAATACAATATAAAAAACTCTTAGAAAGTGCAAAAATTTTATTTTTAAAGAAAAACTTAAAATAGTATAAATATATTTTACCAAATGTACTTATTACTAATATTAAAAAAAAATCAACTATAATTTATTACAAAAATATTTATTTTATTTTTTCTTATTTAACAATTGTTCTTCTATTTAATTTATTTTTATTAAAACAATTAATCATTATTGTTACTTTTAAACTATAAACTTTTTAATTTCTATTTTTATATCAATATATTTTTTCTTGAATTAATATTTTTTTTGATACTTAATATTTTTTGAGTTTTAGATAATCTTTTAATCTTTCAAAAAATAATTAAAAACTTGTATTAAAAGAATTATAATAAAAAAACCAACTATTTTTTTTTTTAACCTGTAGTCAGGTCAGCATAGCTTGTCTTTATTGTATATATATCAGATATTTACAAATTATTTTGACTTTCACATACTAACTCACCCATCGTCA